TTATGAACCAAATGTGAGGAAATGAAAGGATTATGAAGATATTGGAATTGGAATTAGGGTACTGCAGTGAGTTAACTAATCTTAGCAATGTGTGAAGAAAAGAATAGAATTAGAACCTGTAGCATATAGGAGCCTTTGACCTAAGGTGTGTTTCAAGGTCACAGTGTAAGAAAGCAGATGCTCCTTCCTTTGGGTTGTGGGGTGATCCTCATCCTGAATATCCCTAGAGAAACTTTTTTTTTTAAGCAAACCATCTTTTAGCAGAAGCACAAGCATTTCCCCTTAACTCAGTTCTCCCCTCTCTTTTTGTAGCCATAGAACTGCTGGAGTTGATAATGTGGGTGGAAGGAAGAAAGAAAATTGGGGTCTTTGGTGACACAACAGATTGTCCATACCTCACCCAGATGAAAGGAAGGAGGTGGAGGGGGCAAAGACTTTAGATCTAAAGAGTTCATGTGAATGGCCAGATCTGAAGGCCACCGTGGATCAGGTCTGAGTGCCACACACTCTGGAAGGCTGGTCTCTGAGTTTACCTCACCCCGGGGTGGATTGCTTGGTTTGGATCTAAGTCTTTAAGACCAAAGTAACCTCCATCCTAACTTCCCACTCACTGTTCATGCCTTGCTCAGCTGGCTTCTGGAGCAGTTAAGTTTCTGTTATGTTGTCTGAGAAACTGGGGCTAAGATGCTATGACTAACATGTATGCCTTGGACCCCTGCTTTCACTGACTAACTCTTCTCCTTGTTTCTTTTCTTTTGTCTTTCCACACAGGCCATGCAAGTAAAGGTACAGGTCAAATGCATGATGTGTCTTTTCTGTCCTAGTATTAGAGGTGCCAGGCCCTGGCCCCCACTGCACTGTGATCACCATGGGGGTGGTGCAGAATGGATTTTCCCACCTGGAGGTCCCCCAGGCCTGCCCCAGGGAAGACAACTGCCTGTCAAAGAGTGAATGTAGGCCCACCCACCCTTGGAATGGGGAAGCCAGGGAAGCCAGCCAAGCCTCACCCTGACCGAGGTCTCCTTGCTGTCTCTGCTCCCCTCCCCAGCTGCCCTCTTGGCAGCCACCACACTAGCAGAGATAGGATGACTGACATGACTGGAGAGCCTGGGAGACTTGCTCCCCTGCAGTGGCACCCAGGGTTGGAGTCCTATTTTCTGTTGGTGGTCTCAGCCCTTTCACACCATACACGCTCTGCCTCTTGTACGAGGCTCCTGTGATTCAAAGAGCGTATTCTCAAGGGTTTGAAATTAGCAGATAACCATGGGTTTTTGCATAAAATGTGCAGTGG